CATGTCATGTGTTGTTGGCCCATTCAGGGTGCTATCACTTGCTGAGATTTAGTATGTGTATTGTTAGGCTGTGAATCAACACATCTAATCTTGATTTCTTTTATTTTGTAACTGCATCGATTACTTGATTGATGTTGATTTTTAAGTCAAAAACGTCTTTTTCTAGTTTTAACTACAAGATACATTCAGGACATGCAACGTATTGTAGATTTGTATTTTTATCATGACGATGTCGAAACAGTGTAACCATACTCTGTAGAGAGGGATAGAGCCAGTAGTTGAAACATATTTTTTATTAAACAGATCGAGCATTCACTGCCAGTTAGTTAATTATTAAAAAGAAAGAAACCATCTGTGTTGTGATAAAAAAACAATTATAGGTTTCAAATGAATTATGGTATTGTGTTATTTGATTTATCATTGCAGTGAATGGATCCATTGTGGGCAACGATAGTAGAGTTGGTGTGATTGCATCTAAACATATACCAACAATGAATGCCACATCAGATAGGTATGAGAAAACAATACAATTCCTTTTCACATCTAAACTCACACAAAGACGGGACCAGTATTTGAATGCACTAAAACTACCGTACTTATAGTGACTAGACATTTGCACATCACAATCTGTCGCATACTAATCCTTGCTGAATCTTAGGTGTTTAGTGCCACCAAATGGCACAATTTAGAGATTCTTTTTTGGGGGTGAGCTCATTTCAGGCCAGGTATATAGCAATAAGTGAAGCATAATATGTGCAATGTCAAGCATTTCTCATCAGTCAATATTTTTGTTTTAGTTGGCAAGTTACAGTCCTCATCTACAACAGTGATGATACAAGTTCGGTGATTGAACAAGATATCGTTAATTTAAAAATGTCGCTATCAACAGTGAAAGGTAATATCTATCATTATACATCTGTCGCCGCAACACCATGAGTTACAGCGTGCCGTAATGTTGCAGTATTGCACCGGGTATTTTCATTTTACCATAGTAGGAAACACGAATTCCAAATATGGAACGATTACATGCGTAAGCATCCTCTAATAATAAAAACAAACATGGCTGCCCCCAGGGTTTATAAATGCCACAACAGTAAATTCTTATAATATACATTTGTAACTATATTAGTTTTTCTTTATTTATTTTTGCTTGTCCAAATTGAATATCTTCATGAGTAATTAATTTTGGGACTACATGACAGGGCTGTGTGGTCATCTCTCTATAAAATGGCAACTTTAATGAGCTATCCTGGCATCAACCAGGCTCGGTCGAACACAAGCACCTGCGGACCTTATCCAAGGCTCCCGCAAAGTCGCATTCGTTGGTGAATGAATCTCGGCCTGTGTAATAGGCCTTTCCATTGAGTCTGTGGCACTCACCCAGGGTAAGGGTCGACCCTTTTGATGTTCAGCCTAAGGTAGGATTTGAACTTGGGTCTTATGATCACAAGTCTGATGCGACAACCACTATGCTACCAGTGAATGTTATTAAGACTTATAGTTTCACTTTAAAAAAAACCTATTAAATAATTGAATAATTGTACGTAACTGTGTCTGTGTTATTTCTTATCAACAGATGATATAAACTATTCAGTGTATTTGCTTGACAACAGTAAT